AAAAATTTGAAAACATAAAACAACCTACAATTGTATATCCTAAAAAATAAGATAGTATAAGTATATCTTTTAAAACATACTTCTTCTGTGTTAACAAAAATACTTTCCATTTAGAAGAACCATTTTCTTCATTTTCATATATATTATTATCATCTTTATATGGCACATAGGAGATTAATAAAGCACAATACCAATACATTAATGGACTTGCAGAACTTATTAAACGTGTGCTTACTTGAATATGTACAAACAAAGTACAAAATGTACTCAAAAATAAACCATGAATAACAAACACTAACATTTCAGATGGATATTTCTTTCTCTTGATCTGCATATTATGTTCACTACCTTTAATAAATCCCAATGTATAAAAATATCTTTTATGCTCAAAAATATATTCCTTTATGCATGTAAACATGATATATAATATTGGAAATGCTAGAAAAAAGTTTGGTATTTGTTTTATTTCATAATAATTAAAAAATCCTACATTCCAATATTTTTTCTGAATATAAGAATATGCTACTGGAATTTTTAAATGACACCATTCTATATGATTACCAGGTAGTATTAAATTATTTATAATGCTATAATTAGCAATATGTTCAGGAATAAATGTTTGATTACTATTAGGAATACAAAATATGATATAATTATATATTTGTAGCAAAATAAATGGAAATATTGATATAATTATTGTATTACATATTAAACAAAAACTTCGCAATGTAGTCATTTTAAATATCAACTGAGAAAGTGCTTTCATTGAAAAATTTGCATTGTTTATTACATAATTACGAAATAATTTTTTTAATTCAAAATATATAGGAAATCCTATATTGACCATGCCATTTGATCTCGTAAGAATAGATAAAGCTATTGGAAAAGATACATATGGATCTAATTTAATAGATTGTAACATACTGTAATATGTTAGATAAGCAAATAAAGATTCTGAGTATACAGCAGAGAAAAATATAGTAGCTGGATTTATACAGTACAATATTGCTGTTTTATAAGCTATACTTGTGTTTTTTAATACTGCCTTACTGAGTTCATAAAATATAACAGCAGATTTTACAAAACATATAATATTAATTAATACAGCTGCAATAATCAAAGAACTATGAACATTCAATACAAAAAATATTCTTCTTATAGGAACAGAAATAATTCTAATTAATAGGGGATATAATGGATAAAAAGCCAAAGTATTTTCATATGTATAACCATATTTTGCTATATGTATAAAATATTGACCATCCCATCGTATAAGACCACTGAATAAAGATACAATTATATTATCATACAATGAAACAGGTTCAGAATTATCAGTAGGACTTCTAAATGCATCTGCATGATGATCAGGGCACAAAAAATTAAAAATAAATTGTAAAATTAAAACCACTATCCTACTAATTATTGCAAACCAAAAAATTTTTCTTTGTGGTGTATACATTCTATTGTATCACATATAAATATATTAACCCAATGTTACTTACATTAATTATACTTATTCTAGTAAAATTAGACAGATTAAACATTTCAATTTTTAGTTCATTTCAAATTCTTATCCAATTTTAATATAAATCAAGTTTTTTGATTTACAGTATTTGCATATTATACAAAGAAAAAGAGATTGCAAACATATTATATTAAATATTCCTTTTTCAGCCCACAATTCTTATTTTATAAAAGAGCAAAGCTAAAACAAATATTTAAATCACATTGCATTAATAATTTTTTAATACCTCTACATTTTATTATAAACAGAAAAAATGTACATATCTTCATTAATTCTTAGAATTAAGTCTTTAATATTTTTTTAGTTTCTTTTATGATATTTTTAATCAAATTATTTTATTACAAATATAATGAAAACACAATAAACTTCTCACATAATTTATAATTTTGCAACTTATAATATGTTACAAATAACTAAATACGAAGATTAAATTTGTAAATAAAATCATTAATATTCTCTTCTTAATTACAATATTTTAATGCTATTATAAATGTAACATACCTAAGATACCATGTTAAAAAACATGTTCAGCAAAATATTTAATTATTAAAATTCCAGAAAGCCATCAATGCAGCATCAAACTTTAACATTCTGAAATATAAGAATATTATAATTATATTTCACCTTAATTATTGTTCTAACATTTCATATCAAAGTTATTTCAACAGTCAAAAACAATAAAATAAAAGAATGACCCTTCAAAATTCATATTTTCATTTTAAATCCACTTAGAATACTTCAAAAGTATGAATTTATTCTACACACTTACTGATACATAAACATAATATGAATACATTTATAATATCTATTTTTCGAGTCACTATTATAAATATGTTATGCAATATAATATAAAGAAAACTAAATGATTTTGTAGTAAACATAATTTTATTCTCAAAAGTTATACTTTTACACCACAAACTTTTTTAGCAAAGCTCACAATATGATGTTCTTTTGGTGTACATTCATACTCAATATTTTCTGCATATGGCATTGGTACATCAATGCCAGTACAACGAACAGCCGGTGCATCAAGTTGAAAAAATACTGGATTTTCCATTATTGTTGCTACAATTTCTGAACCCACCCCACACACAGGCCATCCTAATTCAACAGTCATCAGTCTGTGTGTTTTTGTAATAGATTTAAAAATTGTATCCCAATCTAGTGGTCTAAGACAACGTAAATTAATCACTTCTGCTTCTATTCCTTCTCCAGCTAGAATTTCTGCTGCTTGCATTGTATAGAGGGTTGCTTGGCCATGTGAAGCTAAAGTAATATGTTTACCAGATTTTTCAATTTTAGCTTTACCAATAGGTATGACAAAATTCTTATCCATAACTTCATCTGATACAGGAAATTCTATATTATAAAGTACTTCACTTTCTAAAACTACTACTGGATCAGGATCTCGAACAGCAGCTTTTAAAGAACCTCTATAATCTTCACAAGTTGTTGGTGACATAACTTTTAGGCCAGGTATACTCATATACCATCCTGCAAAACATTGAGAATGTTGTGCTGCTAAACCTTTAGCATTACCATTTGGACCACGAAATACAATGGGTACAGAATATTTTCCTGCACTCATATAAAAATTTTTAGCAGCACCATTTACTATACGATCAATAGCTTGCATTGAAAAATTGAATGTCATAAATTCACATATTGGTCTTAGACCTGCAAGTGCTGCTCCAATGGCTATACCACAGAATCCAGCTTCTGTTATAGGTGTATCAATTAATCTTTTATCTCCATACTTTTTCCAAAGACCTTTGGTTACTTTATATGCACCATCATACTGTGCAACTTCTTCCCCCATAATAAAGACACTTTCATCTCGTGCTAATTCTTCATCAAGAGCTGAATTTAATGCATCTCTTACAGTCATTTTTTTAATAAGTCTGTAGCTTTGCTTTTGAGCATTATGTGGTATGTTTGATAATAAAATACCTCTTAAAGGACATATAAATTGCATTGTAAATGTTCAAAATTTAGCATAATATAAACTGTATATTTTAAAGTTAAAGAATTTTAAATGAAGTAAGTATTTTAATTCCTTTCCTTTTCAGTGTATTTCATTTAAAATAATATAATTATGTAGTCAGGTACATGACTCTAATACTTTGATTGATGCAATAAGAAATTTTACAAACTGATAACTAGTGATGCAGCAGTGAACTGTTATTTACAAAAACAATTATATTTT